TAATTATTTGCTATTATCACTGAAATGATCTGTCATGATAAAAACTGCAAATTTAAATTCTAGTAAAAAATGACCATGTATATTTGTCTTTCTTTTTTCTTTTTCTTTTCTTTTTTTCCTTCGGAACCGGGGATTGAACTCAGGCCCTTGTGCTTGCCAGGCAAGTACTTATTCTACTGAGCCATCTCCCCGGCCCCGACTATGTACGCTTCATTCTTTGAAATATCACCTGTATCATCCTTATCCAAGTAAAGCAGAATTTCATGAAATCATACAAGTCCCTAAGTGTTCCCCATTCTCTTTCATTTTTCAATTTTTTCTACTTTTAAACTCGTTCACCAATTGAATGGAAAAGTATTACATTTTCATGATGTTTTTGAGATATGGTGTATGTACTTTAAACATTACACTATTAAAGCAAATAAGTTTTGGTTTTAAGATGCACAAGCTTGAGAAGGCACCATCACTATCTACTTCCAGAGCATCTTTTGATTACCTCAGTGAGAAACAAAGCCGAGGGGCGGGGAGAGGGCTCAGTGGAATAAGCGTTTGCCTGGCAAGTGCAAAGGCTTGAGTTCAACCCCTGGTTCTACCAAAACAAAACAAAACAAAAAACAACAACAACAAAAAAATGAAAAAACAAAGCCAAAGACCTGAAACCCAGAAAGCATCTGCCTACTGGTGGTCACTTCTCCTACGGCTCTCTCCTCAGCTCCTGGCAAGCTTCGTGCTGCCTCTGACCGCGCGTCTGAGTTGAGGCTGGCAATCCGAAGCGAGCAGAAAGAGCCCATGTGGTGCTTTATGTTGTCTTCCTCTCACCATATTTTCAGAACTTCTTCCTTCCATGACCCACTCAGAACTTCAGTCCCACCTCACAGCTGAACAATATTTAAAATGTAAGAGTGTAACACCCCTTTTAACAATCCACTTGTCATTTGGTTTTTGTCTAGTTTTTTCTACCTTTTTTTGCTTTCATAAATAATACTTGATGAACACTGAAGTCAATGGGAGTTTAACGGCTAGGTCTTTCACCCAGTGTTTGCATATTCCCACTGTGCTACCAGTTGTTCACCACATTACACTCATTTTACAGCATCGTGTGACATACACTTAGTATATTAATTTCTGAATTACGTTAGATGTATTCAGATAAAAGTTTTTCTACTACACTTGGGTCTTTAGAAATAAGATCTATGTGTTCTATTTTTTATAATGTACTGCAGTTCATACATAGTAAAACACTTGACAAAGGTAATTGCTGAATACATGTTGTTGCTAAATGTTTTAGGGTCCTCATAATGGCCAATAGTGAGCAAAAATTAGAATTACACAGGAATTGAGAACTTTCCCCTGAAATTATTTCAGATGCATAAGGGTGACTCTCTTAAAATTTACACGAAATTGCTATTTTTCTCGAAAAGTTCATTTTTTTATAAAATAATTTAATTTCTATTCTGCATAGGAATTCTTTTCAAGACTGAGATGCACAGGAAGATTGAGTTTTGTATTTGCAACAAATAGCAAAGACATTATCAATATTCTTTTGCTCACTGCCTACCATGTGGTAGCTGTTATTTGGGCTTGTCAAAGGATCCTAGAAGGGCCAGGGATATGGCTCAGTGGAATAAGTGCTTCCCTGGCAAGTGCAAGGGCCTGAGTTCAATCCCTGGTTCCGCAAAAAAAAAAAAAAAGATCCTAGAGATAATGCTCATTTTATTTATTTTTTAATTAATTTTATTAAGAAATAAGTAGCAATGAGACAGTTTCAAAACAGGGCAGTAGGACAGTTAAAGTAATTAATACATTACATATGGTTGTCTTCATTATAGTTATTCATAGCACAAGATGCAAATATGATATCTTGTCTAAACACTATTAGTATAAATCTTTCTTCTCATTGAGCTAAGAGGTAATAGCTGTATATCTAACTTAACTAATTTGTACATTCAGATATATAAAAACATAAAGCCATAATATGCTGAGCTGTAAATGGCTCAAGTCAACAACTTCTGACATTGCTAATCCTGCAGGTAACCCACTACTATTATGGTCTACTCTGCTATAATGGATTATTTTGCTGAATTTACACACCTATAATATTTGAATGGCAATGAAATCGCCATCTCTGACAAAACTAAACAAGAAAGGGGGATATAAGTGAAGGACCATTTTGTAGTAACTCATTTTAAGTTGCTATTTTCTTTTCGCTGAATTGAGACTTTTATGAGTATAGAGTTACTTCCACTCTCCTTTTTACATATTTGGCTTTAAGTCTATTCAAATAGAAGCATGGTCCTCTTTTCTTTGTTCTCAAATATTGCTAAATATCTTAATTCATTTATTCCCTTTCCATCTACAAAGATCCAGTGAGTTTCTTTCTTTATTTTATTTTTACTTATTATTTAATAATTTTATTGAGAAACAAATAGCAATGGGACAGTTTCAAAACCGGTTAGTAGGAACGTTTCAATAATTAACATATTGCATATAGTTGTCTTCTTAGTGGTTATTCATAGTACACGATGAAGACATGCTATCCTGTCCACAAACACTTGGAGGCCACATACGCCCAAGGTGTCTCCGTAGTGGTCTGTAGCTGCTCTCGGTGCCACTGCAAGTGCCAATGATGACACAAAACAATCAAACTAATCTGGCTAGAAAGGTAGCAAGTCACAAAGCAACCGACAGGTACATGTTCTAGCCTGCTCCTGAAGCACCAGAACAAACTTTCCACAAAAATTCAACAAGTGACATATTCCTTGAGTTTCAAATATATTTAGTCACTCTATCTTATCCAGAGAACTTTACTTATGTTCAAGATAATTATTAGGAGATAATATCTTTACTACATCTATTTTGTCAATGGTTTTATAGAATTTATTTTACTTTTAAATTTTATTTTATTTTAAAGAGTAAAAACAAAATCAAAAGCAAAAACAAATAGCATAACAAAGACAGAGACTGAGTAACGTACAAGAATACGTATGGTACATATTCCATTGCTTCCTTTACTTGTTCCCCTCTTGCTCATTACTTGTGACGCTCTCTAGCACTGTGGCTCCATTGCTTTATTAGTCTTGGATTTTCTGGTGCAGAACTTTACCTTAAGATTGTTAGGAGGCTTCGAGGAGTCATCTGTGTACCATAAGCTCTCAGAAGTGGTTTCAGCTGATGGCTGCAAGCACAAAGAAAGGACAAACACAAAGGTAAGGTATGCGAGCATCACAAGAAAATTCTCAAGGGCAATCTTCCTCTTCGTATTCTGCAATATTGATATTCTTTTTTATTCTTTACTGTATTTTCTGTCCTTTAGCATATTAATGCAATTACCACTCCTTTAAAATCTATCTATCTATCCATCCATCCATGCTTGCAATATTGAAGAAATTTAATTTGACGCTATAATTACACTTAACAATGAATCCTGTACCTTCCCAAGTTTTGTTCTACTCACTTATGCCTCGTTCTTTCAGTCCATAAAGCCTCTGCTAACATTCTCTGTAGGACTCATCAGGGAACCGTACTCTCCGAGCTTCTATTTGCTTACTACATTCCTCATCCGTATGGATGAGTTATTTTTCATGAGCTCACATCCCACTGCATGGAGCAGCTTTGAGGCGCAGACCTACAGCCCGGCACCTACTGTTCCCACTCGTGGCTTTCCTTTCTAGCTCACCCTCTCCAGCATTAAGTGACCGCCTGTGTGTCACATCACCGTTGTCCTCCAGGCATGAGCTGCAGCGGCCATCGCAGTCACCACCGCGACTCGGGCGGCTCCAGCTCCAGCCAGGCTTCCTGCAGCAGCCCGACCCCAGGACTTAGCTGCGCGCTTACAGATCAACATGTCTCAGACCCCTACACACTCTTGAGAATGCATTTTATGACCCAGGATTTCATTTAGTCATTAGTTGCAAACAATTTGTAACCTGATTTCGAAAAAGTTCTTATACCTGTTAACGTCGTACAACAGTTAACTGCACACAGAGCAGTGCGTGGAGAATGCGACAAAAGCATCCCTGGAGGAAGGGCTCGGCATCACATCTCGGCATCACTTTCCCCTCTGCACATCCAGAATCCTAGCTAAAAACAGTCCATAGTAACTTCCTATTTGCTTTGCTCAGAATGTAGACCGGGGTGGATATGGTCATAAAGAAGCAAGAGATTATTGAATAAGACTTGATGAATAATCGAAGAGGGCTGGGACGCACACAAACTACAGCAAGGTAAGAGGGAATATGTGAGTCTTCAGAGTATACCTAAGGTTCCAGTGAGGCGAGGCATACAATAACCATTTGAGATGGAAAGGAGATTCAGGGAAAATAGGAAGGGAGGCATTTTAGAATGAGTAGGCTTGGCGAGTAAGTTACAATGTGTGCATTTATACATGAGAATAAAAATCAATTATTGAACTTTTGTGAATTGTATTTATTTTCTTTCACTAAATGGGATTCTGCTCGTGTCAGTGATTTTTCCATTACTACAATAACTTATAAAATCAAGAAGGAAATGAAAAATTGAAAGCACGTGAGACGTGACAAGTGAAGTGAAGGACGAATCTTCCTCTGAAATAAGCACTAAAACTTTCAATTCTAAACTAATGGAAACGTGCATCCTGCGAGTAACATGGGAGGACCCAGGTGTGCTCTGAGCCGCTGACGCTCTTGCATTTGGGGATTCTCTATCCATGGACTTAGAGGATACCCACGTGATATTAACTTTTGATCAGAAACAGAAATCAGCAGGAGCAGGGACTGGAGTTTGAGCCCCTGCACCACATGGTGTGCCGGTCCCCCCAGGGGGCACGCTGAGATGGCGACTGCAACTGGGCATGGTGGCATGTGCCTGTAATCTCAGCGTTCGGGAGGCAGAAAACAGGAGGATCACTACAAGTCCAAGCTGTGTAGTGAGACCCTGTAAACCCTGTGCTAAAAAAGAAAGAAAGAGAAGAAACAGAAGAACAATAAAGAACATTATTCAAATGGCTCGGCCCAGTTGATACGTTATGATAGGCTTTTTTTGGTAATTATTTTTCTAAAGGCTTTCTTAACATCCTTGTTTCTTAGGCTGTAGATAAGGGGGTTCAGCATGGGGATAATCAATGTGTAGAACACGGAGGTCACTTTGTCAGTGTCCATTGAGTGGCCTGCACTTGGGCGCAAGTAAATGAAGATGAGAGTGCCGTGGTAAATAGAGACCACTATCAGGTGCGAAGCACAGGTGGAGAAGCCTTTCCTCCTTCCTTCTGCTGACCCTGTTCTAAGGATGGCTGCCATGACACAGGCATAAGAGAGGAGGACTGTTAGGAGACAGATCGCTTCCTCCAAACTGGCAAACACCATCAGAATGATGTCCTGCACGTATGTGTCAGTGCAGGACAGAGACAAGAGTGCAGAGGTATCACAAAAGAAGTGGTTTATTTCTTTGGAGCAGAAATCCAGAAGGAAAGTGTTAGTGGTGTGAATAATCGAGCTCAGAGTGCCCCCCAGAAATGCTCCAAGTGCGAGCTGGCAGCAGACCCTCTTGGACATAATGACGGTATAAAGCAGGGGGTTGCAGATCGCTATGTACCGGTCATAAGCCATGGCAGCCAAGAGGAAAGATTCTGTGTCAACCAAAGAGCAGAAAAAATAAAACTGCGCAGCACAGCCGTGGTAAGAAATGGTCTTCTCATCAGAAATGAAGTTTGCCAGTAATTTGGGGGCAATGACAGAGGAGTAGCATGTATCCACGAAGGACAGCATGCAGAGGAAAAAGTACATTGGGGTGTGCAAGTGTGGGCTGACTGTGATTAGCAAAATCATGCCAAGATTCCCCATCAGGGTGACAGAGTAAATGGAGGAGAACACCACTAAAAGCAGATGCTGAAGCTCGGGGTGGTCACTGAATCCCACGAGAAGGAAGTCCCCCATCATGGTGCCATTCTCCAAGCGCGTCATCCGCAGTGCTCCTCTGTGTCTGGAGCGGCCACAGAGTAGGGTGGAGTGGTAGCGATACCTGGACGTTGACCAAAGAAAAGAGAAAAAGGTCAAAAAAATAGGGCAGTGATTCTAAATCCTATCGAGCATTCTCAGAGCAATGAGCTATGTTTACACTTAGTATGGTATAGGCATCTTCTTCATTTCTACAAATAAAGAATTTATCATTTTTTCTTTACAAACTTAATTAAAATTAAAATTACACATAATAATCAACTCATCGTAGGGAACTGTGCCTGCATGTGATATATCTTACTTCCTCTATTTTTCCATTCTCCTCCCCTCTTACACCCCTCATCCCCCCTTATTTGCAAAGGCTTTGCTTCGGTCTTTTCCTTCCTTTCTCTTCTCCCTTCCCTCTTTGTGCTCCCCTCCTTCCTAGGGCCCCTGCCCATTTGAATAATTTCTTCCTATTTCACCCTATCAATTACACATTTTGCCCTTATTTCACTTTTGGCTCCTCATACCAGAGAAACAAGGCAGTGCTTGCACGTGCGTGTCCAATTGATTTCACTTGAGTGTGGACTCAAGGTCCCTCCACCTACCTGGAAATGGTTTGGATAAGTCTTTATGTCTTGGAAGTACTCTGTTGCTTAAAAACACACCCTGTGTGTTCTGTAACCCTTCATCTGTCGGTGGACATTTGGGCTATTCCCAAGATGTAGCTATTACAAACTGTGCTGTGACAAGCACAGACATGCAGATGTCACTGTAGTATTATGCTTTTAATTCTTTTAGGCAAATACCAAGAAGAGAAATAGCTGGGTCAAAAGAAGCCTCTAATTTTTTTTGAGGAATCTCTACACTGATTTCCACAGTCACTGCACCACTGTATAATCCCACTACCGGTGGAGAATGGTTCCTTTTTCTCCCCAACCACACAAGGTTTTGTATTGGTCAAATATTAAAACAGAAACACTAAATCTGCTGAGAGAGGGAATAGGCAGAACTCTTGAAGATGCTGGTGTAGACAAAGGTGTTATGAACAAAACCTTGATTGTGTGGGAAGTATTACAAATAATCAACACCTGGGATCTCATTAGAAAGCTTGTGTTGTGGCCGAGGAGATGGCTCAGTAGAATAGGTGCTTCCCTGGCAAGTGCAAGGGCCTAAGTTCAATCCCCAGCTCTGCCAAAAAAGAAAAAATAAAAAAGCTTTTGTTGCAAGAACGCAAAAGAGTAAATAAAATCTATAAAGTACTATATACGCTATGAAAGGGAAAGAAACTGCTCAAGGGGATGAAACAACTGAGATGAAGGGAAGCAGAAGAGAGAGAAAGAAGGAAGGGAGAAAAATATGATAGCTTGTTTAATTATGCAGCTGATTTCTGGTGGCCTATTGAAAGGAGCAATTAATGCTTCATTTTTTCTCTTCTTTTTAATTTTTTGACCAATTTTGCATGTTTATATCTGGTAATCTGAACAGCTAATTTGAAGACAACAATGTGCAACATTCAATAACCAATTGAACAACCACTGTTGAATTCCTATCATTTTGCTTAGTGAAATTCTGTATTGTTTCTGATTTTTTAAATTATTTTTAATTTTCTTTAAAAAAAAAGTAGGGGCCGGTAAGATAGGGTTCAGTGAAATAAGTGCTAGCTTGGCAAGCACAAGATCCTGAGTTCCAACTCTGAGACCACCGAAAAATAAATAAATAAATAAATAAATATTTAAAAAGGCTTTGCACAGAACAGGAAATCAACAGAGTGAAGACACAAACCTCAGCTTTAGAAAAAGTTTTGTCACTTGTTCCTCAGACAAAGGACTAAAATCAATAACATGTAAAAAATTTGAAATAAGTCAGAACTCCCAAGTTTAAAGACTCAATCTAAAAATGGGCATATGAATGAGTACACACTTCTCAGAGGAAGACATTGAGTGGCTTTTAGAATATGAAAAATATTCAACACCATGTTCATTAGATGCAAACTAAAACAATCCTGAAATTCCACCTCTACCCACCTAGCATGGCTTTCGTCTAGAAGTCAGCCGTCGGTCTTCTTCAAGTTCTTATTTTCAGCATTGAACAGCGTCAGTGTCAAACCAGTTGCACAACATTAAACCTGGGAATTCACTTTAAATATCTTTTTTCTCCCATTCATCATCCATGACCAGTACAAGTGGATGCTCATCCCAGGGTAACAAACTGAGTACAGAGACTCTGTTTCCCCTTGTGCTGTTGGAGAAAAGCTTTACTAGGCCAGGTAGAGGTGTGTGCATGGGACAGACCTGTACCTCAGTAACGCTTGAGATGTGGCTTCTCCTGGGGCTACCAAGGAATTGTTCAAAATGTTTGAAGTGTGTGGATAGAAGAGGACGGAGAGTCTGAACTGGTTACCCTAAGAATTGCCTCCTAAATGTGATCCACAGTGGCTAGGGCATTTGGGCTGCACAACTGATCACCACAAGTCAGTTTTCTTCTGCACATAAGCAGATGATTATATCATCTTTCTCATGAAAAGCAAGAGTTAAATGAGTCCTGCTCCATATCCTCGAGAGACTTCCTATACTGTTCACTCACTGTTTTTATGTAATAATGTGTTGATGTTCTGTGAACCCAGACATCTATTTTGTTTTTAAGTTGAAGACCAAGCTGTGGAACAGCAGTTTGTCGTGCTCACAAATTTTCTACATCCAATCCAAGTAGTAAATGTAGCCAGGGATAGTCCCACATTTTCTGGAGTGGAAAATTGTAAAACAAGAAATTAAATAAGCTTACCAACTCATTCCTCTAAATTATTATCATCTTTCATTATCCTGGATCTATTCTGCTACTGTAAAAAGCTCAGATGACCCATCCCAGTGAAGATATTTTCCCAGGTGCATTTTTATCCACTTTAGACATAACTGATTTGTCTACTCACTGTGGATAAGGTTTTATATGTTTTTGCTATTTATTTGTGAATGTTTTATCTTTAAAATTAGAATTTTTTTGGCAGGGTGAGATGGTGCACACCTATAATCCCAGAAGTTGGGAGACTGAGGCAGGAAGATTGTTGCAAACTTGATATCATCCTGGGCTACAAAGAGTTCAAGGTCAACCTGAGCTGTGTGGTGAGACCCTGCCTCAAAAGAGAAACAAAATTAGAGTTTTTAAAATTCTGTTTATTTCCAACTTTAAAATTTAATCATGGATGAAGTAAATATCCTGCACATGTGTATTTTGCAATTTGGGTGGTGGTGGTGGTGGTGGTGGTGGTGGTGTGTGTGTGCATGCATGTGAGCGTGAACATAGGAACAGAGAGAAACAGAGAGAGACAGAGAGAGACAGAGGTATTTATTCCTTTGTTGTATATTTCCCTACTTTATTAGTTATTTTAAACCTTTGCTATTTTAAGTTCCTATTTTAATTTTTTCTTATTCTCAGATAATAGCATTTAATTTTCAGAGAAAAATGATTGATAGAGAAAGAGTGGCCACATTGGCACATGAATGCGTCAGCATCTCTCTTCCCCTCTCCCCTTGTCCTCGGGGAACATGAGCTCCCGGCCTCTGCAGCTAAGCACATCAGACCTCCCTGTGTCCCAAAGGTCGTTATGCTGTTCCAAGTCACCTCCATCTCAGGCCCTTTCTCCATACAACAATGCTTAATCAACCTCACCTTTAAAAATAAGAGCCTGTGTCTGCTTCCTCCACCTTCCCCACTGTCCACTGTCTGGAGGTGCCTCCCCACAGGTGTCCACTCCATTTTCCCAGTTCTCACTTCAGCTACTGAAGTAGGTTTTTTTTTTTTTAATGTATTTGGTACAAAGTCTCACCACACAGCTCAGACTCATAGTGATCTTCCTGTTTTCAGCCTCCCTAGCTCTGGGGTTGCAGGTGTGTGCTACCACTCCCGGGGTTCATGGCCAGCTTAGCATGCCAAGGGGCGAGGCCAGCATGGCATGTGGTGCTGGGGATCAAACCCTGGTCCCTGTGTCTGCCTAAGCAAGTGCTTAGTCTGCAGAGCTATCTCTCCAGCCCTGAAGTAGGGTTTTGTTCCAATAACATTGATACAGTTTTGTGTAACATTACAAGTTAAATGTTTGCTTTCAAAGACTATTAATATGTATGCATTATTGTATCAAGTAACAAGACTCCTTTTCTCATAAAATCCCCACCTTTCCTGACTTCTCCACACCTGCGTCTCTCTTGTTTGTTCTCCTGATCCCCAAATGTTCTCGCTGATCCCGTCACAGGTGGTGGCACGGTCCTGGGGCTTCCTTCAGAACCTACTTCTTTTCTGTCTAGATGCTCTTTCTGCAGTCAATAACCCTGTCCTTTTCTGACCTTACCACCGACGCAATGGTAACTTTTCTGTCCCTTCCAGAACTGCACGCCCAGCTTTAAAGGGTCATGGAATAGATGCGTCAGTGCAATGATTTCAGAACAACATGCGGCTGCTATCACTCCCCAGTACCAAGTGCTTTTGAAGATCCCTGTCTTGTCCACCACTGCACCCTGGCCTAAGCAAGGAGCCTCCTATACCAGGCGCTAATGATTCAGGAGTGGAAAGTATCAAAGTTGAACTTGCCGCAACCTCCCTGTGTTCCAGGATTACTGGTTTATGACACGCTCCCACCTTGCTAAAATTTGTATATCTGATCCTAAAATTTAACATCACAAAGAAATTACTAGGGCTTGCCAGATAGCTCAGCAGACTAAAGCACCTACTTAGGCAGGCACAGGGCCTGGGGGTCAATCCCCAACAAGTGAGCTGGCCCTGCCCCCGGGACATGCTGAGACAGTGATTGAGACTGGGCGTGGAGGCACACCCCTATAATCTCACTGCTTGGGAGGCTGAAAACAGGAGAGCCACTACAAGTCCAATCTATGTAGTGAGACCCTGTAGACCTTGTACTAAATATGAAAAAAAGAAAGAAATTACTTTATTTAGAGAACGATACAATTTCATGCTTGCCTCAAAATTGAAAGAAAGTTAAAGGCTACAAAACTAGGTATAGAGTCCAAATAGAACAATGGTAGGAAAATTACAAGAAAAAACAAACTATTAAAGAATTGAGAAAATATCAACTGAGTAACTTGTTCTATGAAATTGTCAGGAGAGAACAGAGATTTCCAAATAAATTCTACATAATGACATAATATTGTTATAAACTGTAAATATTAAATTCTAGTATTCTGTTTTAAATTATTCCCTTAATGACAGTGTCCAGTGCCTGGCAGTAGTGTTGAGGATTGATAACTATTGGTATCATTGCTATAAGACAAAAACAAAGTTATATATATATATATATATATATATATATATATATGCTCAGTCTTGATATTTCAATCTGTTCAAACATTTAAAATCAATAACATGTACTATTACTGTGCTTAGATGCCTATCCAGCACCTGACAGTGCTCAAGGTGGTCCTAAGAATGACCCAGGGAGAGAGATCATTCGCAGGCTGGAGGGGACCAAGAAATGGAGATAGGATGTATACTTTAAGTGCCTATAAAGAAGGTGACTGCTTAAAATCCCGCCCAGCCCTACATCCCAAGATCCAAAGAGCACTTACCAGGTCACTAGCTTTACTGTTGCTACCCCAGTTCATTCTCTTCCTCCAAAATAAATTGGACATGTAAAGCAGAATTCTGAATAACCCAATTCAGTACTTATCATACTGCCTGCAGGGCAGGCCTGCTGTGTCCATAGAAGGGATCTGGGCCTCCTTTAGGGGGGCTCTTGCTCCTTAGAGAAGCAAGACCCAGTATGACCCAGTATAACCCAGTATGACAATCTGGCATCTGCTTTTGTTTGATCTCATATCAAATCACAGGAACCAAAGTCTGATATCTAAATCTCCCAGTGGAAAAATACATGAGCAATTAAACAATTCCGCTAAGGGATTCATTAGACATTAAATGAAATGATGTAATATGTTTATTTGAGATTGTCTGAAAAATGTATTTTGACTTCCCACATGGCAGATTATAGAAAAAACTGGGTTTGCATATTTGTGATTTCACTTGATTGAATCAACTCAAATCAATTGATGAAACAGCTCTCAGAGCACTCTATGCAAAGACATGGAGGGATAAATGTGAAATAGGCAGAATTGTCTCTGTTTAGCAACTTAATCTTGGAAGATCTCAGAAGCCAATCTGTTGAAGAAGAACCAATTGAGAATGAATTGAATAAATATGATACATACTATGATATATTTATCTACATTAAACTGAAATTTTAAACACACCTAGCCAGATTAAAAAGCAAGGTCTTCAAATATATTTACTCTGCAGATATTTTGTTCTAGGCACCACTCTAGTTATAAAACAGAGAAGCATAGATTCAACTATTTGAATATTTTTAAAAAATATATGGCATGGAAAAACAGCATAAGAAATTACCTGAAGGTCAGCACATAGCATGATCGGACACTTTGAGAAGGAAATTTAGAGACAATGTTTTACCCAATAAGGAGAAGTTAAAATGCACATATGCATATGGCTAGAAGTGTCCTAAATTCAAATTCAAAGAGCTTTAAATAATGAACTTGAGTTTCTAAGTAGAGATACTAGATGTCTTTTTGATGTGTGTAGCAGAATACACTGGTTTTTTTTTAAAATTAAATTTTCATTTATTTGCTACAAGGTCTTGCTATGCAATTCAGACTCATAGTAATCCTCCTATCCCAGCCTCTCCAGCGCTGGGATTACAGTTGGTTGGCACTGCACTCTGTGGAGGGGCCAGTACAGCATACAGTACTGGGGATTGAACCCAGGTCCTTGCACTTTTCAGGCAGACACTTAGATCACCAAGCTATCCCCAGCCCAGAATACACTGTTTTAAAGCTCAAGTGTCTTAAGCATAGGTGGAATTTACTGATAAACTTTTATTAGTACATGTTTACTAACCCTGTGTTAGTACCTGTTTATGACACATCAGGAGCACAGTTGTCCTGCTAACCTGACACACACACATACCACATCTTAATCATTTTCACTTTCCCCTCCCTTCCCCTCCCAGTCCTCCACCTCCAACACTAGGTTCCCCTCTCCTTTTGCATAAACTCTACTAATTACTTAATTTAAAAATCTGGAAAAATACTCTGGACATAGATTGATCAGGAGAGGATCGAGGGGCTCAAACTGTATGGTAAATTATATATCATTCTCTAGCTCTGCTCTATCTTCTTCATTAACTTAAACCTCAGAAAAGTGCTCTTTTCTGGGAAGAGAGAGCTTTAAACTATGCAGAGCTCCTGTCAGGGCACAGTCAGTCTCAGCAGAAAGAACACAGTCACTCTTCCCGATAATTCCAGAAAACGTCCACCACTGGGTCACCAGCTCACTGGTGTTGACCCTGAAGCCATCACTGTTCGTATCTCACCGTCAGTGAAGTCTGGACCAGATGCCATCGGGCGCGTGGTGGCGATGCACTAAGGTAAGAAAGATTGCAACTCCGCAGGAACTCCAATCTGAGATTAGGATGAAATGAGAAATTCATCTCAAACTATATAGTCCATCAGAGGTGGAATGAACAAAGTAGCTAGCGTGGTGAAAGAGACTTGTGGAGCTACTTTGCAGCCATGTCTGAGTAGCGCTCTGTGTGCCACAGTTATCTCTGTGGGTATCTTGGGACGGTACCTGTGAAGTGACCTTGGGAAAGCAGAGCTGGGACAGTATGAATTATTTCTGAAGTTTCATTTGAAGCAGTCTTCTTTATGCTAACGAGTCTGACAGTCTCTGCTTAGGAAAAGTCTCTTAGTAGTAGATAGAAACCAAGAA